CTCAGTTCCGTCATCGTCATCTTGTTTCATTGATTGGATACTGTGATGAAAAGAATGAGATGATTCTCGTGTACGAGTACATGGAAAATGGGACCCTTAAGAGCCATCTGTATGGTTCGGATATGCCTAGTATGAGCTGGAAACAGAGGCTGGAGATATGTATTGGGGCAGCCAGAGGTCTACACTACCTTCATACTAGCTACGCCAAAGCAGTTATACATCGTGATGTCAAATCAGCAAACATATTGCTTGATGAGAATATGATGGCAAAAGTAGCTGATTTCGGACTTTCTAAGGCAGGACCCGAGCTCGATCAAACTCATGTTAGCACGGCAGTGAAAGGGAGCTTCGGGTACCTAGATCCCGAATATTTCAGGAGGCAGCAATTGACTGAGAAAAGTGATGTTTACTCTTTTGGTGTTGTTCTGTTTGAAGTTCTTTGTGCTAGGCCTGTAATCGATCCATCTCTTCCAAGGGAGATGGTTAATTTAGCTGAATGGGCGATGAAGTGGCAGAAGAAGGGACAACTAGAGCAAATCATAGATCCCAATCTCGCTGGAAAAATAAGACCGGATTCCCTTAGGAAGTTCGGTGAAACAGCAGAGAAATGCTTGGCTGATTTTGGCGTGGACAGGCCTTCAATGGGCGACGTGCTGTGGAACCTCGAGTATGCCCTTCAACTACAAGAGGCAGTTATTCAAGTCGATCCTGACGAGAACAGTAGCAATCTCATCGGAGAACTCTCTCCTCAGGTAAACGATTTCAGTCACGTCGATGCCACTACTTCAGCAATGCAATTCGAAGCGTCGAATCTAGATGATCTATCTGGAGTTTCCATGAGTAAAGTTTTCTCACAATTGGTCAAGTCTGAAGGAAGATAAATTTGGTGAAAGATTGTATAAAATTGTACTCTTTTTTCTTAGCTCCTCTTTTAATTCCACTTTTTTTGTTCATTAATCATGTGAAGATTGTACTTTATTTTTTAAATCTATAGTTTTACATGTACTACTCTTGTTATGAATATAAAAACTTTTGGGATGTCTTGTAACTTACATATCAATTAAGTGAATATATGAGTTACTATTTTACACAAATATAGAAATTTCTAATAGATTAAAAAGATTCTAAACAAGGAAAAATATTAGTTTTTCATTTGAAGAAAGATTTATTTCAAAAGTAGCAATTTTATAGTATATCTTTTAGGGCAACTTTCACATATAGCAAACAAAAAAATCATATTTGTATAATATAGCAAACTTTGCATAATTGCGCTCCAAAAAAACTGTATAATTCGCTATACATNTAAAAGTGTATAATTCGCTGGCCTAAATTGTATAATTCGCTGGCCTAAATTGTA